CCCCAAAACCCCAAAACCCCAAAACCCCTTAAGATAGCATTGATCATAACAATAATGGCATTGCAATTAATATATTCAGATATTCATAAAAAGTTTATATAATATTGCAATAATGAACGAGGATGAGATATAGCCACTAAAAAAAGAAAAAAAGCTCTAAAATTTCAATGTCTTATTTACTCCTTAGCTAAAACCATCGAAATATCTTGAGAGCTTTATCATTGAAAAAGGGGGTCCAAGAAAAGTTGCTAAATAGATAGATCTCTTTGGAACTCTAAAACTTTAGAAATAAAAAAATTCAACTCCACTCGAAAAAACAGGGGATAGATAGGATAAAATATTGAACGATCCCAATACTTGAAAGTTAACTGTCCAGCTTGATAGAGTTGATAATTCTTCTAAATCATCTACCAAAAAGGTTCCTGACTAAGCTAAAGGGGGATCTAACGATAAGCAGAGTATAATTTCATATGATAAAGAAAGCACAACTAGATCAATTAAAGAGCAAGGTTTGAGCAGACATAATTAATAATAATAACCATTCCAGCTTTATTCACCTTAACCTCAAAGAATGCTTAATTTTAAGAATGGACTTAAGCAGATGAATGTTCCTGGGCTGGAAAATAACTTATTAAGTCCTTAGACATCTTAGCATAAATAGGAAGAGAATATGGATCGTCGAAGAATGATGTTATAAAAGTAAAGACCAGGAAGGCTTGATATGAAATCAATAGGAAGAGGAGGAAAAGCCACTGTGATGAATGTATTAAATTAGCCTAACTCCCCCATGCTGCTCAGGTAGCTTTCCCCTAAATCTGCTGGGTTCGCCCCAATTCCAATGTCTCCTATGAGTGTTGAGAGTAGAGCAAAGCATTAAAAAGTTGTCAAGAAACTAATATAAGAGGACGATGTTAAAAAATAAAAATCTAGAAAGGAAAAATACAGAAAGAAAAATACAATTCTCAAAAATGCAGGAGGCTTTATTCAAAGAAACACAAAAAATAAAAATTCAATGATTGGTAACAACAAAGAAAATCATGAAACAACAGAGAATAGAGATGAGGAAGATGTAGAGCTAGAAATATTCAAATAATTTATGGAGGCTAATTAAAGAGAACCAAGTTGGGGTGTGACATCGCCAGATTCTTTGTTTAAGACTTTATGGGATATTTTTATGTTTGTTTGGATCATTTGGCAAGCAATATTCATTCCATATAGACTTTGCTTCGACATTCAAATTAGTGAAGACGATGCCATTTCAAGCCTTGAATATTTTATTGATATTTGCTTTGGGGTGGATATGATCTTATCTCTAAACACAGGTTATTATAAAAATGGAGTTTTAATTCTAAACCGGAGACTAATTGTAGTTGCTTATCTAAAAACATGGTTTTTACTTGATTTGCTAGCAACATTTCCATACAACTTGGTTATATAAATCTTTTTGGAGAGCTAGGATGTTAATGATTTCAAAATGCAGACTAAGGCTCCATAACTTCTGAGATTATTAAAGATTATAAGATTTTTGAGATTTCTTAAATTGTTGAGAGTCTTAAAACTTTCAAGTCTGAAGCAAAAGTATGAAGATTTTATATTCAATGATAGTTTACACACTCTTTCAGCTATTCTAAAGATCATAGCTATAGATCTTTTTTTTGCACACACCATGGCATGCTTATTTTGGATGGTAGGGTCTAATGGATTAAGCTCCAATTATATATCATGGATAACGAAGATAGGATTAAATGATGCAGATGTTATGACTTAATATGTCAATTCCTTATATTGGTCCATAACAACAATGGTTTCAGTAGGATATGGAGATATCTCAGCTCTTAATGTATAAGAAAGACTATTCAGTATGTTTGCTATGATTGTTGCTAATGGAGTTTACGCCTTTACCATTAGCAATGTTGGTAAAATAGTATCATAATATAATGAAGCAGCTGTGCACTTTAGAGAAAATATGTTCTATGTGGGAAAATGGATGAAGTAGCATGATCTTGGAAACGAATTAAGAGTTTAAATCAGAAGGTATCTTGAGTTTTAGTGGGATCTAAGAGAACAAATGAAAATTGAGGAGGAAGATGTAATGAATTTACTTAACGAAGATCTTAGAGAGAAACTTATCTTGTACACTAATGCTAAATCCCTAAGAAATCTAAGTTTTTGTAATCAATTTAAATTGGAATTCATTACTGATTTGGCTTTTCAAATGAAATCCTAAACTTTTGGAGTCGGTGAAAATGTTATTATGGTAGATATATTTATTTTTATAGATTTTTAGGAAAATGAAGAGGGAGATAAGATATTCTTCATCACTAGAGGGAAGGTTTGTGTGCTGCACAGAAAGACTCATACATATCTTGATGATTTGACAGTAATTGATATCATATAAAAATATTAGATAGATGATTACTTTGGAGAGATTAGCTTTTTTACTGAGTAACCTAGGACAACGAGTGTCAAAACACGAGATTTTACGACTTTGATTTATTTATAAAGAGATGTTTATACTTGAACAGCTGAATCTGGAGATCTTAATGCTTCTGTAAAAATATCTTTAAATTCATTAATTAAAGGGTACATTTTATAAGATCTAAAATGCCTTAAGAAACAATGATTTCTCGTATATAAGCATTAAGTGTTTTATATGCAGAGAGGCAACTCACATAGCAATAAATTGTGAATAATTCAAATTATAAAAAGGAAATTTGCATAAAATTTTCAATAAGCTATGTAATTACCATTGTTGATATAATCTTTCTCCTAATAGATGTTAAATCCTTGAAAGTTAAGCTATCAAACAATTCTTTAAGGTCACCAGTTGGAAAATAGTACTTGAGTACCTAAGAATAAATGGAAATGAGAGACGTAGAGTTACTAGTAGACAGAGAAGAAAACAAAGATAAGTCTTTGGTGAACACGATGTAAACTCTAAAGCAGAAATCACTTCTAGGTGATGATCTTATGAAGGAATTTTATAAGGATGCTGGATACAACTATCAGCCTTATTAAAATTCTTTTGTGACTGAATTAAATTCAGAGGAGTTAGTTGATGATAGTTCCGAAAATTATAAATCAAGGAGCAACACATAAAATTCTCATCAAAGAAGGTCATAGATGAAAATGCCATATAAAGTAGTTGAGCTTGATACCAATAAAAGCATAAAAAAATCAATTTTAGGGAAAGCTTCTTTAAGACTTTAGAAAAATAAGCAGTACTACGAGTCATCTAGTGACGAAGAATCAGTATAATCAAAGAAAAGTGCTAGGTCAAGGAACACTAAAGAAAACCTAAGTGCAACAATTAGAAATTAAAAAAGTACTGATAAAATAGTTCAGTAAAAATCTCAGGTAGTAAAAGAAGTCATAGATAATTTTGATGATAATCGCATATATTTTCATCCTGAATCAAGCAATATCAAGCCATTTGAAAAAGATTTTAATGAAAGTTACCCAGATGTAGAAACAATTTTAGAGGCTGAAGAATATGAAGAGGAAACACCATATAATAAGTAGATAGTTTCAATTAGAAACAATCTTCGAAGGTAACTACAAGCTAAGAAATATGATGATACTACTGACTCAATGAGAGCAGATAGTATAATTTCACAATCAGATAGCATGTCAATGCAAAACTAAAGTTCTCATCAAATAAACAACGGCAATAATAACTCATCGCTGAGCGTCGGTAGTGGGCATAAAAATCTTAGTTCAAAGTTTCTGTAATTTGCCAAGTTAGACCTTGGAAAGAAAATTTTTAAAACAAGTACTGTTAGGTTAGATATTATTGATGAAATTCCAAAGAACATAGGTTAGTAATCAACCAATTCTCATCTTAATAAATCTATTATTGAGGAACTTGAATTTGATGATAGCAACAAAAATGACCAAATTTAAGCTGACAAGTTTGGCTATATTTAATCATTTAGAGGTGAAAAAATATTAACTTACAATCCAATCGAAGAAGAGGATAATAGCGTTTCAGATGTTAACACTTATAAAGATAATGTAACAGCTAGGACTACTGGTGAATAGATACTAAGCAAGGAAGTAACCGATTCGTAATCATTAAACAACAAAAATTCTATTGAAAGACTTGAGTATTTTAATAATCTGGAATAAATTGTCATGCAAGAGATAAAAGAAGGCTTTATGGATGATTAAGAAGATTACTCTTAATATTACTTAGAAGAAGGTGAGATGAGTGAGCTTGAAGTAGAAGACCTTGATGCTACGAATAAATAAGCTGATCATTTACAAGAAAATGGTCATGATTTCAGCTTCAACGAATTTCAGTTTTAAGGAGATGATCCATCGATTGATACCGTTTAAGAAAACATTATTGTTAGAGAGTTTGAAAGATTAGAAATGGGTTTGAATTATGGTGATGATAGTAGTAATACTTAGAATGAAAATAACTGGGATAGTAGTAACAATAATAGTAGTATATAACATCAATAAAATTAAGATGATAGTGGGTATTCCTCCTTGAATCCTAGGTCTGATAGCGAATAAAAAGATAGCTTAGACTAAAGTAATAATTAGGACAGCAGCATCAATTAATTACAAGATGATAGATGATTTAACTCACATCATTGCTTTGAAAAGATAACATTAGTTAGAATACATTTAGCCTTAGATTCACAATTTCAAATTTTTAAAAAGAGTAGAAATGGGTTCTTATATCACGGGAAAGAAAGATATTCACTCTTTCAAGTTGTGAATCTCATCTAAAAATAAAATAGTTTGGTTTTAATTTAAGCTAGTTTTCAACTTAATACTGCCAATTTAATAAAATGAACTTATAAATATGATAAATTTATGCTACTTGGGGTTTTGGGGTTTTGGGG